ATGCTCTAATTGTATTTCAGAACCATATAGAGAAAGTAAGTCTAGGAAACTTAGTTCCACATTAGGCTGGTTGACACTTTGCAAAACCACAGGTAATTATAACTGTTATATATCTCAATCCCTTCCTTCCTTCCTTCCTTCTTTCCTTCCTTCCTTCCTTCCTTCCTTCCTTCCTTCCTCCCTCCCTCCCTTCCTCCCTCCCTCTCCTTCCCTTCTTCCCTCTCTCCTTTCCTTCCTTCTACCTTCCTTCTTCCCTCCCTCCCTCCCTCCCTCTCTCCTTCCCTTCCTGCCTCTCTCTTTTTTTCCTTCCTTCCTTACCTTCCTTCTTACTTCCTTTACCACATTGACAACCAAACTTTGGTTGGAATAGAAGCCGTCCTTGTCTTGTTCTCCATCTCAAAGAGAAAAATTATACACTTCATTAACCTGATGTTTCCTGTCGGCTTTTTGTAGATAACCATTTTCAATTCAAGAAAGTTCTCTTGAAAGCTAAAAAAATTTTGGCTTTGAATTACATTGAAGTTTATCAAACACTTCAGCTACATGTATTGAAGTAATCATAATCTATTTCTCCTTTGTTCTGTTAATTCATAAATTCATTCTATTAATTTTTGAAAGGCAAATTAATTTTAAATTTGATATTATGCAATAAGTCATAATATTTAATCATTTTATATGTTGCAAATATGCTTTTCTAACACAGTTTTAGATGTTTTATTTAAATGTAATTCATATTTCCTAAAAGTCATCTTTTTAAAGTACACAATTTGGTGGGTTTTAGGATAGTCACAAAGTTGTGTGCTACATGTGTCAGAATGTTTGTACCCATCTCAAATTCATATGTTGAAATTCTCATTCATAAGGTGATGGTTTTGGTGGTGAATAGGGAATGACAGTTGAGCCCTAATGAATGGGAGGGATTAGTGTGCTTATCAAAGAGCTCCCAGAGAGCTCTTGTCCTTTCTGCCATTTGAGGGGACACTAAATCTGATGGAACCTTGATCTTGAACTTCCCACCTACAATACTGGGAGGAACAAATTTCTGTTGTTTATAAGCCACCCAGTTGATGGTATTTTGTGATAGCAGCCCAAACAGACTAAGACATTGTGTCACAAGAACTGTTAAATAATTCTAGAACACTTTCATTGCTCCATTCCTAATATATTAGATCAATCGAAATGCATTTATTTTCTTATAATGTCCTTATGAGATTTTGATATGAAACTTATGGTAGTCTCATAAAGCCAGGTGCTAGCATTTCATGTTCATTTTCCTATAACATTTTTATAAGAATGTTATTATTTACTCTTTAAATTTTTTAAAGAATTCACTAGTAAATCCGGGGTGGGGGGGGTTGGGGTTTATTTTGTTGGAAGGTCTATTTCGGCCAATAATTTTCTTGTACTGTGTAGACTTTTTGCTGAAGCATAGCATATATACATGTCTATAAAAAGGGTGCAGGTCTTAATCATGCAATTCAATGGTTTTTTGCAAAGTGGACACATGTATGTAAAGGGCATTCAGATTAAGTACAGAGCATTATCAGCACCACAGAAGCCACTTCTATGTCCTTTCCTAGCTGTTCTCTTCCCAAAGTAACCATTATTCTGATTTCAACCACCAAATGTTAGTTTTGCCACTGCTTGAAATTTTGATTAAGGAATCCAAAAGTGTGTATTCTTTAGTGTCAGCTTCTGCTCAGTATTATATTTGAAAGACAGCCTGGTTGCTGAACTTTCATATACATGTTCATATTTACTATGTATGAATGCAATTCATATTCATAATATTGTAGAATTCCTTGGATCTTTTTATTATTACATTTCATTGCAAGAATATAATACAATTAATTTTTAAATATAGCTGTTGAGATTATATAAATATGTGGAATTGCATACATATATGCAGGAAATACTTGAGACATATATAGAACAATCTAGTTTATATCTATATGTCTTAGACATAGATAGCCACATATTATGTTTCGTATAGCTGTATATTGTGAGCATATCATACATGTATGTATGTACTTCCATTTTTAGTTTTTTTCTTTTTTGGGGACATGGTATCTCTCTGTCATCCAGGCTGAATGGCAATGATGTGATCATAGCTTACTGCATGTTTAATCTCCTGAGCTCAAGCTATCCTCCCATCAAGACCTCCCAAAGTGCTTGGATTATAGGCATGAGCTGCTCTACCGGGCCTATACAATTCTGTTTATGTTTGTATAAGTGGAATTGTTAGGTAAGGACATAGTCACCTTTAGTAGATACTGCCAAAAGATTTTGCAAAGTGAATGTACAAATTTACTCTTCCTCCAGAAATAAGAAGTCTAGCTGCTCTACACACTTGCCACTTAGTGTTAAATTCTGTTTAAATTTTAGCTCTTCTGGTGACTCACCATGGTTTTAATTTGCATTTCTTAATGACATGATGTTGAATACTTTTTCAAATGCTTGGGACATGACTGTTCAAAACTTTTGCCTATTATTTACTAATCTGTCTACCTTTTTATTGTTTTATAGAAGTTCTTCACGTATTTTCATAGTTTCCAATAAATACAACAAAAATATTTGCTTTCGAGCTATAGTTTGTATTTGCTTTCTTCATAATGTCTTTTGATGATGGAAGTTCTACATCTTAATGGTATCCAGTTTATGAGGTTTTTTTCTTTCTAGTTACTGCTTTTCCTATTATACTTAAAGAATCTGCCTGTTATGAAGATATTGACCCATGTTATATTTTAGAAACTTAATTTTTTTTTTTTTTTTTTTTTAGACAGAGCCTCAAGCTGTCCCCCTGGGTAGAGTGCCGTGGCATTACAGCTCACAGCAACCTCCAACTCCTGGGCTCAAGCGAGTCTCTTGCCTCCGCCTCCCAAGTAGCTGGGACCACAGGCGCCCGCCTCAACGCCCGGCCTTTTTTTGGTTGCAGCCGTCATTGTTGTTTGGCGGGTCCGGGCTGGGGATTCAAACCCGCCACCTTAGGTGTACGTGGCTGTCGCCTTAGCTGGTTGAGCTATAGGCGCCGAGCCAGAAACTTAATTTTTTAAAAATCTTTGCTATTTAAGTCTATGATTCATCTCCAATTTATTTTTATGCATGATGTAGAGTATGTTCAGCTTTGGGGGTTTTATTTGTTTGTTTTTTGTAGTTTTTGGCTGGGGCCGGGTTTGAACCACCGCCTCCAGTATACGGGGCCAGCGCCCTACTCCTTTGAACCACAGCTGCCACCCTGGTTTTTTTTTCTTAATGGATAGGCAATTAATCTAATGCCATTTATGAAAAGGCCCTTTCCTTGCATACCACAGTACAATAGCACCATGGTCATAAGTCATGTGACCTTATATATGGGTCTCATTTCAGAAAGTTTCTGCTCTGCTGGTTTATTTATGATATTATTTTAAATACCATAGTGTTATATTAAAGCTTGATACCTGATGGTATCTATTTTCTAATTATGTGCTTCTTCAAGATGAACTTGGTAATTCTTAGACCTTTTGCATTTCCACATAAAATTTAGAATCAGCTTGTCAATTTCCATAGAAATAATCCTACTTGAATTTGTGTCGATTAATCTAACTTTGTAGATTAATTTGTGGGCAATTAACTAATACACATTTTTGAGTTTTAAATTAATGACCATAATACAGCCTCCATTTTAGAAGTCTTTTTAATAGGCTGGGCTCACGCCTGTAATCCTAGCACTCTAGGAGACCAAGATTGCCTAAGTTCAGTAGTTTGAAACTAGCCTGAGCAAGAGTGAGACCCCTCACCTACAAAAAAAAATAGCCAGGCTTTGTGGTGGGTGACTGGAGTCCCAGCTACTTCAGAGGCTGAGGCAAGAAGATCGCCTGAGTCTAAGAGTTTGAAGTTGCTGTGAGCTAGGATGCCACAGCACTCTACCAAGGAGGACAGAATAAGACTCTGTTGCAAATAAATAAATAAATAAATAATAAAGAAGTCTTTTTAACATATTATATAAAGTATAAAAATGGAAAAGAACCTAATTCTAGAATTACTACCCAAATTCTTCGGAAAAACCTACCCCTTAGCCTTGAATATTCCTCCCTTCAAGGAATTAGTGAGACTTCAAAAAGCTGAAAACACCTTCCTTTCACTACAGCTGCGCTTGTCAGGCCTGTCCACTGCCTTATTCCTCAGAGAGTGTGCTTTCATTTTCCCTTTCAATAAAAGCTGTGTGCTTTTAAAAAGCAATCTATTTCAGACTATTACAAGGGTACAGACGTTTTGGTTATATAATTTGCTTTTGTACATTTTAAGTCAAAGTTATAAGCACGTCCTTCACCCAGAATGTGTGCATTGTACCAGTTTGGGGGAATTTACCCAGCCCCTCCTTCCCACTCCCACCTACTTGATCTCCATTGATTTTACTTCCATATGTGCACATAAGTGTTGTTCAACTAGTTCCAATTTAGTATTGAGTACATGTGGTGTTTGTTTTCCCATTCTTGTGATACTCACTTAGAAGAATGGTCTTCAGTTCCATCCAGATTGTTACAGAAGACACCAGATCACCATTTTTTTAATGGCTGAATAGCACTCCATGATGCGCAGAGAAAGGAACGTTTACACTCTGTTGGTGGGACTGCAAACAAGCTGTTTGCCTTTGACTTACAATATGGTGCATCCTGAAATTCTTTTCTTGGATGATCACCAAGAATCTGACAGAACCTCTACTCAGAGAACATCAACAGGGGCTGGAGCCATATTTGAATTATTGAGATTACCATTACCAGAAACAAAAGCCTCCTTAAGAATTTTTATCTTTAATTTCAAGTATTTCCAGATTTGGGTTGAAATAATTTAGTTTTATTAATTCTAACCAAGTCTAGCAATACAATATGCTATATACCACTTCTGCATTTTCAAATGTACATAGGGGCTTTTGTGGACTAATTTATGATCACTTTATACACAGATATCCTACTGTAATACCAAACATAGGTTTGATAAAATGAGTCAATAAACTTTCTAGCTCTTAGATGTTGTGAAACATTTGACAGTACACTTGGAAGTATATGTTACTTGAAAGTTTAGTAGCACGTATCTTTGAAGATTTTCTATTCTTTCCTGTGTTTTAACCAATTCTAGCTTTCTAGATCTTCTTGAATGAATCTTGGTAATTTATAAGTTTCCATTTATATCTTTTAGATTTTCATAATGTTTAATGTGCACTAGTTTACAGTTTTATAAATATTTTCATAAATAGGCAAATATATTTACATTCCATTTCCTATTATGTCTACTTGTGTTTTCTCTCTTTCTTTATACTTTTTCTTTCAGAAAAGGTTTTTATATTTGTTTCATTATTTGAAAGAGCTATATTCAGTTAATAAAAATATGGAAGTTAAGAAAACAAATGGTCCAGGCACAGTGGCTCACACCTGTAACCCTAGCATTCTGGGAGGCTGAGGCAGGACGATTGCTTGAGGATGGGAGTTCTGGACAATCATGAGCAAGAGTGATACTCCATCTCTACAAAAAATAGAACAATTAGTTTGGCATGGCGGTATGTAGCCTGTAGTCTCAGCTACTTGGGAGGTGGAGGGAGGAGAACCACCTAAGCCCAGGAGTTGAAGGTTGCTATGAGCTTTGACGATGTCTTTACATTCTAGCCTGGGCAACAGAGCAAAACTCTGTCTAAAGAAAAAGGAAAAGTAAACAAAAGAAAGAGGAAAAGAGGAGAGGAAAACTCTATGACTCTACACGAATATAATTAAAGAACTATTTGAAATGAAGAGAGTGTACTTTATTAATAAATGCATGACTTTAGAGGAAATAATATAAGCAGGAAAGATAGAACATATGTTATGTTCACCCACATTACAACTTTGTAGAAACTTGCCTACATAGCAAAGATTAAAAGCAAATAATGAGCAGGCATGATGGCGCATACCTTTAGTCTAGACACTTGGGTGAAGGGGTAGGAAGATCCTTTGAGTCTAGGATTTTGAGAGAAACCTGAACAACATAGCAAGACCCCATCTAAAAAAAAAGAAAGAAAAGAAAAATAGAATGTAAAAATAGTTACAGTTTAGGCTCATCGCCTGTGGCTCAAGCAGTTAAGGCGCCAGCCACATATGCCTGAGCTGGTGGATTCGAATCCAGCCTGAGCCCGCCAAACAACAATGACAGCTACAACCAAAAACTAGCCGGGTGTTGTGGCAGACACCCGTAGTCTGAGCTACTTGGGAAGCGGAAGCAGGAGAATTGCTTGGGCCCTGGAGGTGGAGGTTGCTATGAGCGGTGATGCCATGGCACTCTACTCAAGGCAACAGCTTGAGACTCTGTCTCAAAAAAAAAAAAAAAAGAAAAAGGACAAGAGTCACTTAACAGCTCCCTCTGAATATCCAGTTGCCATCTCAAACTTCACAGGTCCAAAACTGAGCCCGTGCTCTGTAGCGTATGCTATAGTCACCACCCAGCTTCTCCAGGACCACCACTGTCACAGGTACTGAGATTCATCGGTCGGTGACCAACAGACCAGCCCAGCCCCGTGACGGAGCTTGCCTTCCACAGAGGAGAACCACCTTGCCCAAGGTTTTGTAAACCAAAAATAAAATTCCAATCCCACAACAAACTGAATAGGCCCCCCTCTTAGAATCCAAAGATACCTAAAAAAAAAAAAAAGTAGTTACAGTTTAGAGATTTGTTGGGTTTTCTCACTTACTATTTAAATTCACTGTTATTTAACTTGCTTTCCTTTTCCCCAGAAATTTTCTGTAAGACTCCCCCAGCCATCCCCAATGGAAAGTTCTTCAGCAACAGAGAATATTTTGAATACGGACAGGTGGTGACCTATCACTGCACACGTGGAAACAGGGGAACAGTGTTTGACCTTGTGGGTGAGGAGTCCATATATTGCACCAGCAATGAGGATCAAGTCGGCGTCTGGAGCGGCCCTCCCCCTCAGTGCATTGTACCTAATAAATGCACGCCTCCGAATGTTGAAAATGGAATGATAGCATCTGGTAACAGAAGCTTATTTTCCTTAAATGAAATTGTGGTATTGAGTTGTCAGCCTGGCTTTGTCATGAAAGGACCCCGCAGAGTGCAGTGTGGAGCTCTAAACAAGTGGGAGCCGGAGTTACCCAGCTGCTCCAGGGGTGAGTCTGAGTGGGGCCTTGAAGGGGTCTACACATTACATGAGCTGTTGGAGGATCAGGAGATCAGCGTTTTTTCCAAGGGAGGGATGTACGGTGAAAGGGCTAGGGAAGTAGATCTTGCGGGGGGGGGGGGTAGAAATTAAAACTATATATGTGTTTATGCATGTGTATACATGCATGTGTGCTGAAATTGAGGTGCAAAGCTAAATCTTGGCAAGGATTATGATGTTTCCTTGGAATTCTCATAAATGGATCTCTCAGTTACTCTTGATTATAATAGCCACTTGTAATGAGAGATTCCCTTAGTAAGGTCCCGTCATACAGGCTATGTCTGCATTTCATTCCTAAAACTATAAGGTAGTTACTATTCTTTTCATGCTTTGCAGAGAAAATGTATCTTAGAGAGAGGTGAGATAACTGTCCAGTGTGAAACAGACACCAACTTAAAGGCTAAAGATGAGCCCAAGTCTGCCTGACTCCAGAGTGTTGCCTCTGCCAGCCAGCATTGAGCCAGGCAGGAAATCAAAACCCAGTCTAGGGGCTCAGGTTTGTAATCCAATGCTTTGGGAGGCAGAGGCGAGATTACTTGAGGCTGAGAGTTTGAGACTAGCCTGGGCAATGTAGCAAGACCCCATCTCTACAAAAATAAGTAAAGTTAGCTGGATGTGGTGATTTATGCCTGTAGTCATAGCTTCTCGGGAGGCAGGAGGATGGCTTGAGCCCAGGAGTTCAAGGTTGCAGTAAACTAAGATCGCACCACATTCCAGCCTGAGAGAGAATGTGAACTCTGTCTCAAAAACAAAGAAACAAACCAAAAAAACCCCTCAAGTCAATTTGAATCATTCAATGAGTGAGAGATTTTCTGCAGGGTAGGCACCTGCTGTTACACTAGAAATAGAGGGCAAGAGCCTCCTCTCATGTTGAAATGCCCAGTATATCACTGGGCAAGCACCTTCTTAAAACCTACTAATGCTGCAGGAGCCACTACTGCTGCCAGAATGTAGCTGAGCTTGCTGGAGCCAATTCATTGGCATTGCTAGATTTGAAGTTGCTGCTCTGCTAACTGAGAACTATCAATACTACTGCCTGAAACACCTTTCGGAGAATGGCTTCTGGCAACATCCTGCCTTTTAATTTGGCAATCATGGTTCCAATTGGCAAGACCAAACCAGAGCCTGGCTGTAAAGGAAGAGAAAAACTTGTAGTTTTCAGGCTTCCATCCCCAGCAGTGAAAGGAGAATGTAGAAATGTGAGGCTGGAGTTGGCAGATAACCAGGGCAGCACTTCAATATCCTATCACAGTGCATTGATTAGTCAAGAGACACGTAGGGGAAAGAGCCCTGAAATAGACCTTATAGCATCACGGTATTTACAAACTCCTCAAGGAAGGCATTTATTCTAGTCCAAACCCCGCTGTATACTTGAGAACACTGAACAGAGAACTGATATGCTCAAAGCCAAATTGAAATTATTTTTTTGCCACTTTACAACAGTTTTATATGTCGGTTGAGCCCAAACGTGTTCTGATTCCCTGAGTTCAAACCAACTAACTGCACAGAGAGCCAAAGATTCCATTATAACTATATGGCTATATGCAGAATGCATGCTCATGGTGATCGCGGAGTCTTAAAAGATCTGTTCAATGCTTGCCCTTCTTCTTGTTGGAGGGAAGTGAACAGCTAAGCAGCCCCTTGCTGTACAGAGTGTGAAGAGGAGACTCACGGTTTTCCACCAACCTATGTCAAGTGACCCCCATGAGAGGACTTGAAAGGAGCCCAGGATAGATGGCTGAACTATCCCCGCTATCCACTCTCCACTTGGTTTGGGGCACCAAGTGTGTGATGGGCGACTGAGGGATCTGTTACAGGAAGAAAGCTTGGCTTTTTTTTATTGCCTAAAATGTAAAACTGTAAACTGGTGACACCTTTCTAGAAAGGAAGCATGAAGACATAAAAATCTATCAGTCCTAACAATTCTGCACTGGGTGAACAGAATTTGGAAGCTTTCTAGAACCCGGAAGCCTGGTGCATGATCTTAGGTGTATGCTTTATGTGAAAAACAACAGATGGAGGATGCCTCAGTTCTTGTCACAGTTCTGCAGTGTATCAGTTCTACATCCCCTCCACCCCGTGTAATTATTTTGTCATCAATATAATAAGAGGGTTAGCCTACCTTTTTTTTTTTATTAACATTTGGACTTATGATTTGCTTGGCCAGTTTACCTTTGAGTAAAAGTTACTTTTACACAATTAATGGGTCTTGGATTCTTTTTCCACAGTGTGTCAGCCACCCCCAGACATCTTGCATGGCGCACATACCCCACGTGACAAGGACAACTTCTCCCCTGGGGAGGAAGTGTTCTACAGCTGTGAGCTTGGCTATGACCTCACGGGGGCTGCTTCCCTGCGCTGCACACCCCAGGGAGACTGGAGCCCTGAAGCTCCCAGATGCGCAGGTGCCTGGACTCTCATCTGGCTTGACATTTTTACCTTGTGTCTTTATTCTCCACGTGCCAGTGTTGTTTCAATTTGTTTTTCTTTTGCTCCAGTGAAATCCTGTGATGACTCCCTGGGCCAACTCCCCAATGGCCGTGTTCTAGTTCCACTTAATCTCCAGCTTGGAGCAAAGGTGTCCTTTGTTTGTGATGAAGGGTGAGTATGAGCTTGCCTGACCTGCAGGTCACTGAAACTAGAGTTTGGAATTAGTCCTAAAAAGGGA